ACTAAAACCAAACATAGATCATATGAATAAATAAAGATGAGCTACACTCACCTATTAAATAACAACTCCCAGAATGACTAACAAAGAAAATCCAAATATATGCTATATATATAAATGTCTAGGAATAGATTTTGTGGTATATAAATTTAAATTAAATTAAATTTTAGCTTTAATTTAATTTAAAGTGTTTTTTAAAGTGATATAATATAAAGTGATTCAGAAGAACCAAAAATAAAAGGGTAGGCAAAGGGATACCCAACAAATAAAAATAATAAGAAAACTGCATTCATGATTATAATACCAGACAAGACTGAATTCAGGGCAAAAGCTGTAAATAAGACAAAAGAAATATACTTCATGATGAGAAAGATTATAATTCATAATGAAGATACAGTAGTAATAAATCTAATTTAAACATCCTAGCATTCAAAAGCAAAGACACAGGAAACATGAGAGGAAACCGAAACACATTAGTGGGAGCCTTTCCCAGTTTTACATAGAGTTAAATGGACCACCACCCACCAAAAAAATGGAAAAGAAGACCTAATTAAGAATATCTAGACAATATATATGGGAGTCTCAATATAAAAAAGAAAATACATCTTTTCAAATGCCCAAAGAACATTTAAAATTGTAACCATATACTAGGTAGGTAAGAAAAAATAAATCACAAAAAATAGAAGTTAGTAATAAAACTAGAAAATAATAATCCCTACCTTCTGGGAAATTTTTAATCTCTCTCAAAGAATTCTTGGGTCAAAGAGTAAATCAAACCTAAAATTTCAAAGTATTCAGAAAACAATGACATATTAGAATTTATGAAGTATGGCTAAAGCAGCTCTCAGGAGAAATTTCAAAGACTTTTATTTATATTAGTGAATGAGAAAGAATAAAAAGAAATGAATTAAGCATCTAATAATTCAAGAAATCAGAAGAACTGGTAAACTAAAGAGCTGGTTCTTCAGGGGGAAAAATAGAATAACCTACAACTAATCGATTCAAGAAATACAGTATTCCCCCCTTAACTGAGGGGGATACATTCCAAGACCCCCAGTGTATGCCTGAAACCACAGATAATACCAAGCCCTTTATCTACTACGTTATCTAAGTTTGAGGTAAGACAGTAAAACTAGCATGAATTTCTTTTTCCACTAGGATGGAATATTCATTCTTACTGCAGATCCTAGCCACCTCAGCATATGATTTTTCTTCTTTCTGTATTAAGTTGAGAACTTTCACCTTTTCACTTAAAGGAAGAACTTTATGGTTTGTTTTTGGCCTATCAGAATTAGCAGTATCATTACTCTTGCACTTTGGGGCAAATGTTAAGTGAAATAAGGGTTGCTTGCACAAAAACACTGCAATACCTTGACAGTGGAGCTGATAAACAAAACAGCTCCCCAGTGAATAAGAGCAGGTAGTACACACAGCGTGGACACACAGGGATGATCCCCATCCCGTGACGGACAGCATGAGATTTCATCACACTCCTCAGAACTGTGCAGGATTTAAAACTTACACTTATAGAATTTTCCATGACGGGCCGGCCTGTGGCTCACTCGGGAGAGTGCGGTGCTGATAACACCAAGGCCACGGGTTCGGATCCCATATAGGGATGGCCGGTTTGCTCACTGGGTGAGCGTGGTGCTGACAACACCAAGTCAAGGGTTAAGATCCCCTTACCGGTCATCTTTTTAAAAAAAAAAAAAAAAGAATTTTCCATGTTATATTTTTGGGCCACAGGTGACTGTGGGTAACCGAAACTATGGAAAGTGAAACTGGGGATAAGGGGGGAAGTAAGGGAGAACACAATATACACAAAATAATTAGTGAAAATGAAGTACTAACCATAGGTAGAGAGAATATAAAAAAAGACTGCTTTGTTCAATTGTAATAAACTTGAGTGCCTGGTGGAAATAGATAATTTTCTATGAACATATAAGTTATCAAAACTGACTCCAGAAGAGGTTGTAATATTATAGACTAACTATCATAAAAGATATAGAGCAAGTTTTAAAGAAGTTAATCACAAAAAACACATTGGGCCAGAGAGTTTCAAAAAGTATTCTACCAAACCTTTAAGAAAAAGAAATTCCAACATATTTAAACTGGTCAGAAGAAAATTATGGGAAGATGGCTGTATGGCAGCATAGATTTTTAATTTCCATTTCCCAATATAAAAACGGAGCAACTAAATAGCAAAACCATAAACTCATGGAAAACATTTACAACTGACAAGGTATCCCCACTAACTCTAAAGTTCAAGAGGGCGGAAACAAACTACCAAAAGCTATAAGACCTGCATGGTATCAACATTATCAATATTTATGTGGGATGACCCAAAAAGAAGTAATGGATCTGAAAAAAACAGAAGTCTAAAAGTGCCAATAGGTTACTCACTGGAAAGCACAGGAGGCCAACCTGAGAACTTCAGCCGAAGCAATGACAGATTTTCTCCAACCCAATAGTGAATCCAAGGTGAATGCGAGGGGCCCCAGTAATATGTGAAGGAGCCCACAATCTATAGCCTGTCAGCTCAGAAAATTGACCAGCCAGGACTCTCTTGTAGGACAAGAGCCAGCACTGATAAGAAACCTCTAGGGTTGGAATTAAAATTGAATAAGAAAGGAACAAAAGATATGAAAGAAGGATATGGTCCAGATAAAATGGGGGGAGAGAGGGCCGGCCCGGTGGCGCACTGCTACAGTGCACCGCTTGGGAGCACGGCGGCTCTCCCGCCGAGGGTTCGGATCCCACATACAGACCAGTTCCCGCTCACTGGCTGAGCGAGGTGCGGGCACAACACCGAGGGTTGCGATCCCGTTGCTGGTCCCGCTCCGGTACGGGTGCAACACTGAGGGTTGCGATCCGTTGCCGGACACAAAAAAGGACAAAAAGGAAAAAATAAAATAAAATAAAATAAAATGGGGGGAGAGAACAAAAAATCTCAGAGAGCAAGATGCCATGTTTTTTTAAAACATTAACTGAAAAGAGAGCTGTAAAGCTAGAAAATCTATTCTGAACATAATCTTCTTTTAAAAGTTCAGTATAACTAATTTCACATATAAATGAGCAACAGAAAAGTATCAAGGTCAAAATCCCTAAATGGTTATACAAAGAAAAAAAGAAACTAAGACATTTCTACAAACAATGAAAGCCTGCCTAAAGACATGACCACAAAAAAGATAAAAACTACAACCTGCTGTTATTTCAAAATGAAATAAAAGATATTAAAAAAAATGCCACAAGACATAGAAGAATACAAATCAGAAACAGAAAACAGAAATAAGGTGACAGAACTCAGAAAGAATTAGAAACAAAAGTAAAAAAGAATTCCTGAAATTAAAACAAAATTAAAAAGAACACAAGAACAACAAATAATAAAACAAAAAACAGGAGAACAGCAAATAATGCTTTAAGAGAAACAGAAGATGAAAAGGAGAAAGAGTTTTAAAATTTAAAAAATGAAGAGAGAAAAGATTCGAGAAAAAATGACAAATACTGAAGATAGGCAACCTATAGATAATATAGTAAAAGCCCCTGCACAAGAAAAGCAAAGCAAGGGACAGGTCAAATACTAAAAAGATTTGAAACTACATATTGAAAGAGCACAGTGTGTATATGAGAATATCAACCTCGAATGACCAACTCTATAACACAGTCTAGTAGAATCACTGGATTTAAAGAAAAATAGGACTGGCCTATTAGCTCAGTTGGTTAGAACACCGCCTTATAACACCAAAGTCACAGGTTCAGATTCCCATACCAGCCAGCCGAAAAAAAAAAAAAAACAAACAAAAATTTAGCTTTTCAATAGCAACACTTTATGCTAGAAGAAAATAGAGAAATGTATTCAAAACACTCAAGGAAAGAAATGTGAGTCAAGGATTTTACATCTGGTAAAACTAATTTTCAAGTGTAAAGGAAATACACAAGCTTAACATAAAAGCCTTTAAATTAAAAAGTGAAAAGGTAAAACTAGTGTTTTTTTTTTAATATTAAATTTCCCTCAGTACCTAATAAAAGAAGACTGCAAATGCTTTTGAAGAAAAAGAAAGAAAAGACAGAAATGCTTTGAAAGACTACAAAAAATATTAAAATAGCATCTATCCATTTGAAGAAAAAGTCAAGCAAACTTGTCATTACTGCTCCACTTTGCTTAATGTTTAGGTACTGTACTAATCTATAAAGAAATAGGAAGTGACAGTTTAGGAAAATATTGACATTTAAGATCTACTCTTCACCTAAGACTGTTTTCAATATAAATATAATTTGGGGTTTTTTTTCTGGCAGCTGGCTGATACAAGGATCCAAACCCTTGACTTGGTATTACAACACCAAACTAACTAACTGAGCTAACTGGCCAGCCAAGATATAAATATAATTTTGTTCAAGATAAACATTTGACCTTTTGTTGTGTTAATTTAATTTTTTGAGTTTTCATGGATTGTATTATGCTGTGATACCCTCAAGACGCTACTGATCTATAAGGTTATTTGTTCCTATGGCAGCTAAGCTCCTTCACCTTTGGAGTTCTCATGTCTATATCTACACTAGCTCTTTCTCCTCCCTGTCAGCTTTCAGTCTGCTGGCTTCTGGACGCCTGCTGCATCTCTGTCCTCCCCATGTTGTACAATCTGTTCAGGGACGGGAAACCAGATAACCAAGTTTGTTAGAGTCCTGTGAAATGTATTGCTGAGTAAAACAAATAAGTAAGAATCCCCACTAAAGCGCAAACTGCAGCCTTGACAGGTCAGAGGCCTTTTTTTTTTTTTTCTCACCCCATGAAAGGTTTTGTTTTCTTAAGTGTCAAAATAGTTCAGTGATTAAGTCTAAACTACAAATTGTGGTAACCAGCAGTACATGTTTATGAATGCTAAATGTCAAAAGATAAAATTACTCATAAAGGAGAGCACTTGACTTTTCCCTTAAACTAAAAGAACTTTTAGTATTCCCTTGAATAATATATTTTATACAAAATTTTATTATTTGTTATGAATTTATCCAATATTCTTCTTACCAAGAGTATCTTTAATGAGGATTTCAAGCTTCTGTCCCATGTTGGGTCCTCTCTCCTCTCTTGGATTCTGTACCCGGTTTACAATCTCTTGTTTGATGGAGTTGATTACAAACAATAAATTATCTGGAAGACAGAACAAAACACTTGGAACATGTCACTAACATGGAAGAATTTAGTTTTAATTATGAATTAACAGATACTAAATTTTTTAAAATGGAGAATGTGTAAGAAAACATTAAGCAGTGATGTTATGTTTTCCTGTCCAAAGAAACTAATTTCAAATGATGTGCCACTTTTGATAACACATTGTAGACATACACCAATGTCTACTACCCTGTAAGCAACTTGCCTTACTTGTCTTCATAGCTTTAAGATCTGTGATAGTACCTGGTATACCAAACCACAGGACATTAGTAAATGTTTATTAAATAAATCAAACCAAGTCCTTCAAAGACAAAACTTTAAAAACAATTTTTCCCACCTTAAGAAGCTTTAAGAAAACAAAAGAACAAAGTTAACCCAAAGTTAAGTAGGAGGAGGAAAATAATAAAGGGCAGAAATCAATGAAATAGAAAATTAACAAAGCCAAAAGCTGGTTGTTTGAAAAGATCAACGAAATTGATAAATCCCCCAGATTGATCATGAAAAAGAGATAACACCAATCACCTGTATATGAAATGAAAAAGGGGTTATCACTTCAGAATCTACAGACATTAAAAATAAGAAAATACTATGCTAACAAATTTAACAACTTGGATGAAATGAACAAATTTTTTGAAAATGCAACTTAAAATCAACACAAGAAGAAATGAAAAAATCTGAATAGACTATTTTAAATAAAAAAGTTGAACTTACCAATAATCTTAAAACAAAACAAAACAAAAAAAAACGCAGAGGGTTTTAATGGCAAATTCTATCAAATGTACAATGAAGAAATAAAATCGATTTTGTCAAACTTTCTCACAAAAGAGGAAGAGAAATCCTAACCCAATTTATTCTATGAGGCCAGTATAGCCCTACTACCAAAGCCATACAAAGACATTACCAAAAAAGAAAAAGAAAAAAAGAAAGAATCACAGACCAATTTCCCTCTTGTATAAAGATATAAAAATCCTTAACAACACATTAACAATGGAATCCAAAATGAAATATTAGAATAGAATCCTACAAAATATTAGCAATAGACTCTAACATAAAAAGGAAAATACATCATAACCAAGTAGAGTTCATTACAAGAAATCAAGGTTGGATTAATATTCAAAAATCAATTAATGTAATTCACCACATTAGTAGGTGAATTTGTGAAATATTAACAGAATAAAGGAAAATAATATGATTGTCCCAATAGAGGTTAAAAAAAAAAAAAGGCATCAATACCCATTCATGATAAATGAAACTCTGAATGGAAGGGTAATTCCTCAAAATAAGAAAGGGCATCTGTCTACAAAAAAGTACACCACCAACATTATACCTAAAGGTAAAAGGTTTCCCCAAGACTGCAAACAAGGCAATTGCCACTTCTACTCAATATTGTGCTGGATGTCCTAGATATTTTAATAAGTCAGAAAAAGAAAAGGTATAAAAATTAAAAAAAGAAGAAATAAAAAACATCCCTACTTGCAGATGATGATTGCTTAAGTAGAAAATCCCAGGGAATCTACATGCTTTATTATAGGAACTAATAAATAAACTTAGCAAGATCACAAGATACAAGAATAATACACAAAACTCCATTTCATGTATTAGTAGCAAAGAGTTCAAAAATGAAATTTCTAAAATAATTCAATTTACAGCAGCACCAAAAAATATAAAATATTGAGGAATACAGTTAACAAAAGATGTTCAAGCGCTCTACACTGAAAACTATAGAACATGGCACACACAAATTAAAGACTTAGATGGAGAGAGATATCAGGTTCATGAATAGAAAGACTCCATTTTAAGATGATGATTCTCTCCTAATTGATATATAGATTCAAAGCAATCCCAATCAAAATTCCAGTAACCTTTTTTGTAAAAAGTGATAAACTGATTCTAAAACATGTATGGACAACAAGAATAGCCAAAACAACTCTGAAACAAAGAGCACGACTGGAGGACTAACAAGGACTAGCAGTACCTGACTTAATGATTTACTAGAAAGCTACAGTAATCAAGACAGTTTTATATTCACATAAAGGTAGAGAATTAGATCAATGAAACAGAATACAAAGTCCAGAAGTAAACTCATACATATATGGTCAACTGATTGAACAAAGGTGCAAAAACAGTTCAATGTCTTTTCAATGAAGGTGTTTGATCAATTATATATTCATACAGAATAAAATAAATATCATCTCTTACTTCACACCATACACAAACATTGACCTAAAATGGATTATAAACCTAAATGCAAAACCCAACACTACAAATTCTAGGAGAAAACATCAAGAAAATATTTGGAATTTTAGAGTTGATAAAGGTTTTTTAGAACACAAAAATCATGAAACATAAAAGAAAACATTGGGCTAGTTGGTTAGCTCAGTTGGTCAGAGTGTGGTGTTGCTAACACCAAGGTCAAGGGTTCAGATCCCCTTACTGGCCAGCTGCCAAAAGAAAAACAAAGAAGAAAAAGAAAAAACTGACAAATCGGACTTCATCAAAATTAAAAATTTTTGTTCTTTGAAAAATGCCAATGAGAGAACAAAAAGGCAAGCCAAAGACTGGTATAAAATATTTTCAATACATATATAAAAGAACTTGTATCCAGAATAAATCTTCAGAAGGCAAATCAATTTTTTTAAATGACAAAATATTTGAAAAGACACTTCACAAAAGAAAATATATAAATAGTGAATAAGCACAGGAAAAAGGTTCAAATGTCATTAATCAGAGAAATGCAAAGTAAGATCACAATGAAATACCACCATATACCCATTAGATTTGTAAAAATAAGATGACGGACCCTACCAAGTAGTGGCAAGGATGTGAACCAACTAGAAGCCTCCTACAAAATGCAAAGTAAGATCACAATGAAATACCACCATATACCCATTAGATTTGTAAAAATAAGACGACGGACCCTACCAAGTAGTGGCAAGGATGTGAACCAACTAGAAGCCTCCTACACTGTTCTTTTTTTTTTTTCCTTTTTGTCTTTTTTCGTGACCGGCAACGGATCGCAACCCTCAGTGTCGCGCCCGTACCGGACTGGGACCGGCAACGGGACCAGCAACGGGACCGCAACCCTCAGCGCTGCACCCGCACCTCGCTCAGCCAGTGAGCGGCCGGTCTGTATGTGGGATCCGAACCCTCAGCGGGCGGGAGTGCTTCCGCGCTCCCAAGCAGTGCACTGTAGCAGTGCGCCACCGGGCCGGCCCCTACACTGTTCTTGAGAATGTAAAACAGTACAGTCTCCTTGGAAAACAGTCTGACAGTTTCTTACATACATTTATCCCATGATCCAATCATTCCTTCATCTAGATATTTAATCAAAAGAAATCAAAATATATGTCCATCCAAAAACTTGTACAGAAATATTCACAACCAGCCCCTGTGGTATAGCCAAAAACTCAAAACAACCCAAGTATCCATTAACAGGTGAGTGGACAAATTGTAGTACATCCACACAATGGAATATAAAGGATAAAAGGATCAGCAACAAAAACGATCTAACTATTGATACAGGAAACAACATGGAGGAATTTTTAAATAATTATGCTGAGTGAAAGTAGCCAGGCAAAAAAGAGAACATATTGTATAGTTCCATTAATATAAAATTTTAGAAAATGCAAACTAATCTGTAGTGACAGAAAGCAGATTGTGGCTTCTCAAGGACAGGAATGGAGGATGGAAATAGCTTACGAAAGGACACTAGAAAACTTTTGGAAGTAATGAAGATATTCATTATTTTGATTGGTTTCACATGTGTATGCATATGTCCAAACTAATCAAATTACATCCTTTAAATATGTATAAAGTAATTGTATTTCAATTATACCTCAATAAAGTTGGGGAAAATACATTTCCAATTTCAACACACAGGATTCCTGTGACGGTTAATTTTAGGTGTCAAATTGGCTGGATTAAGGAATACCTAGAAAACTGGTAAAGCACTATCTTTGGGTGTGTCTGTGAGAGTGTTTCCAAAGGAGACTGGCATGTGACTCCAAGTGGACTAAGTGGGAAAGATCCCGTTGTTCAATGTGGGCTGACACCATTCAATTGGCTTGTGGCCCAGAAAGAACAAAACAGAGGAAAGGCATATTGGTTTGTCTCTCTTGGAGTTGGGATATACTCTTCTTCTTCTGCCCCTGGACATCAGAACTCCAGGCTCTCCGGCCTTTGGACTCTAGGACTTACACCAGCAACCCCCATGGTTATGGGCATACCATGGTCCCCAGCTTACAAATGGCCTGTCCTGGGACTTCTCAGCCTCCATAATCACATGAGCCAATTCCCCTAATAAATCCCCTCATATATTGAGCAAGAGAGAGAGAGAGATTTGTATATCTTATTGGTTCTCTCTTCCTGGATAAGCCTAATACACCATAGGTGTACCTCCCCAGACACTGCTTTGAAACCAGTGATTTGCTATTCCTCATCTACTAACACTGAGAAGAGGCCAACGTAGATTGAGGTTGAAGAGGGAAGTGAAAAATAATGGAGGGAGGATGATGGAGTTTCGATGTGTTGTCCTCCCAGAATTCATGTGGAAATCTGACCCCCAGTGTGGCAGTGCTGGGAGCTGTTTGAGTCATGGGGGCAGATCCCTCATGAATGGATTAATGCTCTTCTTAGGGGGGTGGGAGTAGTGAGTAAGTCCTCGCACTATTAGTTCCCAAGAGAGCTGGTTGTTTAAAAGACCCTGGCACCTCCTCTCTCTCTTGCTTCCTCTCACCATGTGATCTGCTTGTACCCACTGGCTGTCTGCTGCTTTCCGCCATGAGTAGAAGCAGCCCAAGGCCGGCCTGCATCAGATGCAGCTGTCCCAGAATCGTGAGCCAAAAAAACCTCTGTTCTTTATAAATTACCCAGTCTTGGGTATTCTGTTATAGTGACACAAAAACAGACTAATACAGAGGGGAACAGTTTAAAACAACACACAGGGCCAATATATGTAAAATGTGTAATTAAACAAGGAAAGTACAGCTAACTCCCTAAATCATATGAAATAAGAAATGTATGCTTCTTCTCCATGAATAACTGAGAGAGAACACTATTTACTCAAATATAAGTAAGGACATTTACAAGAAGGCTAGATTTATGGGAAACAATGAAGTTCCCCTATACTCAACAGGTTAAAAGTAAATAAGGATGCAGGCTTCCAGTCAAGATGGTGGAACAAACAGTCCCCAGTGTCACTCGCTCCCAACAATCAACCAGTTTACAACTATTAAAAAGCAATGACAGCCAAGCTGGGGCTGCTAGAGCTCAGGGAAAGAGGAGGAGAGACCCATGGAGTTCATGAAGGCAGGAAAAGCCATGACGAGAGAAAGAAAGGATTGCTCCTACCATTTCAAGCCCCAGACACTTCAAGGCTGGAGCTGGTGAGCACATGGAACAAGAGCTGGCAAAAGCCTCAGCTGTGCCCTTCCTGTGAAGTTGCTTGAAGGTGACAGGGAAGAATAGGGCCTTGGTAGCCCCCAGGCCAGCAAGACCACTAACAGGGCTCCCATGGACCCACACAGGAACAAGGAGCCACAGACAACAGAAAACGGGAACCACTTAGAGGCTAGTGAGTCATCAGAAGGGACAGGCACATGGCCCATCCCATGGAAAGTGTTTGGAGTGCAGGCAGTGGGGGATACAGGCCCACTGGGGGAACACTGGGGCACAGTGTAGACATCTGACCTACGCAGCACAGAATCACTCAGTAGAGACTGATCAGGAATATAGAACTGCAGGGGATGCCATTTGCTGGAAAGACTCAGGCCCAAACCGGAGTTTCCACACAACCCAGGTGTACTGGACCTCACAAGACCCGGTAGTACATACAAGGTCAACCATTAAAACTTGAGCTGCACAAAAAGCCTTCCTCAGGGAATCAGCAGCAATGAAGCAATTTAGCTTAGCACAACTACAGGGCTGAAGTGCTGGTCCCCACAGTAAGTTCCCCCATTTTAGAAGTAAGCAAATGACAACAAATTAGTTCCGGTGCAGGGTTTAAGTGGTAGGAACAGCAAATAATCCAGCAAGGAACTGAAAGAAAAAACAAAATACCACAGATCAGAGACAAAGTGATATTAACTAGGAAAAAGGTCTAATACCACCTGAGAACACCTATAAAACCTAGAAGTACTGGAAGCCCTCTGAGCTCCTGGGCCAAAGTGTTAGGGGGCCAAGGGCCTCAGCCATGCCTCCCAGACATCCATGACCAGCCCAGCAACAACCACTGAGCTGCCACAGGAAGCACCCTGGGCTCCCGAGACAGGGCGGTGGGGGGACCAATGGCCTCATGACTCCCTGACATCCACAACTAGCCCAGCAACAACCACCAAGTTGCCGCAGGAAGTGCCCCATGCTCCTGACCCAAGGCAGTGGGTGGCCGAGGGCTTTAGCCACACCACCCTGACATCTGCATCCAGCCCAGCAACAACCCAGCAGCCACTGGAAGCCCCCTAGTTTCCCCTGCTGGAATGAAGGGGAGGCAATGGGCCTTGAACGCACCCCCCTTCCCCCTCTTCCCATCCATTTTCCCTCCCTCTTCCCCTCTCCTTCTCTCCCCCAACTGCTCTGCAGCAATATCTTAAAATGAGACATGGAACTGGGGGAAGCCAAACCCAGCCACAACTAGGCAAGCTGCCACTACCACCCTGGCCTGGGGCCCTGCGGGATCCTGAGGTGTGAATCTGGAGGAAGCCAAACCCAGCTGCAACTAGGCAAGCTGCCGCCACCATCCCGGAGCCCATGGGGTCCTGAGGCGTGGAGCCAGGGTAAGCCAAACCCAGCTGCAACTAGGCAAGCTGCTACCACTGCCCTGGGCCCTGCTGGGGTCCTGAGGTATGGAGCCGGAAGAAGCTGAACCCAACCACAACCAGGTAAAGAGCACACCAAAAACACCATTTTCACATGCGGAGCCCACCATAGCCACTGCATTTGCCATGGCTGCTGCAAAAGTGGTCACTCTCTATAGCAGCAGTCATAGCCACTGTGCAGATGGCATGCCAGACTCTCAACTGCATTGACACAAGGAGAGGGACCAGCAGAGACCAAAAAAGAAAAAAGAAAAAAAGAGTCCTCTCTCTCCACTAAACACTGCAGAGTAATAGAGGAATCATCTGATTTACAATAATACGGGAGGACTTGATCACACCTGTTTCAGAACTGGACAGATCATCTAGGCAACAAACCAACGGAGGAACAATCTAGGAGGAACAGTTAGTCTATCAGATGGCGAAAACAAATCTATGGTTATTAGAGGGGAGAGGGAAGAGGCAAGTAGAGGGGGAAGGAGAGAGACTGGATAAGGGGCATAAAGAGTAAGTATGATTTGTAACAATGAATATGCTAATAAATAAATTTTAAAAAGTAAATAAGGCTATTTTAAAAGAAAAAAAACACTGCAAAATCAAAATTAGAACAGACCAGCCCTTCTAGAACCTTGGCAATGTCCATTTCAGCGCACTAAGGGGGCAAAGAGCATGGAGGGGAGGGGCTCTCATACTACCACACACCTCTGTTAGGAAATGGAAGCATCTGGCTCTCAGAAATTGAGTTCAAACATTAAATTCCACACACAGATCGATCTCCCTCTTCTGATACCATGTTCATCCAGGAATTTTCTGACTTAAATTTTCCCATATAGTTTGCATTCTATTTCTCATTCTGAGTCAACAAATTTACGTTAGATTCACAGGGCAGTCTCTAGTGAGCTTCGGTAGTAGGAATCCCACAGAAGGAGGAAGTTTGGTGGGATAGGATTTCTGACTTAAATTTTCCCATATAGTTTGCATTCTATTTCTCATTCTGAGTCAACAAATTTATGTTAGATTCACAGGGCAGTCTCTAGTGAGCTTCGGTAGTAGGAATCCCACAGAAGGAGGAAGTTTGGTGGGATAGGATGTGATTAGAAGTATAGTGGGTCCCTGAAGCTAGTCCTTGGAACAATGCTAATTCATGACAAATTAAAAAGTATAAGGACAACAGAGTAAATTTTTCATAAAGCTGAATTTATTCTATTATGAGATTATGCTCTTCTCAATTTTTTAATACTAAAATATTCTTCCTTGCATGAAATTATAGTTATTATAATGGGTTTTTTTTAATGTCCTCACTTGGCAAAATATAAAGTTGGTAAGCCTGTGTTCTCAAGTCCCAAAATCTTTTTTTACATGTCATTAATCTGAGAATCACAAATTCTAGAATTTCTTTGAATTCTAGAACTGGAATTAACAGATAGGTAGTGGATAAGTGTTCCACCAAGCGGTAACATAGTGCTTTCCAGATATCTACCAGGAAAAAAGGGAGCCACTCACAGAGCTTAAAGTCAAAATGCTTCAACAGCAAGAAGGAATAATAGGAAAATGAGGCCAGCCAGTTAGTTTAGTTGGTTAGAGCACAGTGTTATAGCACCAAGGTCAAGGGTTCAGATCCCTGTACCGGCCAGCAGCCAAAAAAATAAAAATAAAAAAACAATAGAAAAATGGACAGGTTCCATTCAACAAACCAACTATTGTTTTTACCTAATATTTACCTTGATTAGAGTTCCAAAGTGGTCATTAATAAATGAAAACATCAGTTCATTTCACAAGTTGTAAACTTTACAGTTGGAAAGCATCTCTCTGCCCTCATAAATAGAAACAAAAAAATCAACATAAAGGATTACAAAAAACTACACAGTTTATTTGATCACCTGTGTGCCAGACATCATGCCAAATTAAGAAAACCTCTAGAAACATAATAATTGACCATTTTGTACACTGTTCTGCTTTCAGACACAACTTGCCCAAGAGCTACACACTGAAGTGGATGATTTTAGAGACAAAGGACATACCAATTATTATGATACTGGGGGCTTAAACAGATCAAAGGAGAAGGGAGATCAAACCAGAGTTTCCCAACCCCCTAATGTGCTGTAAAAGGGTTCCAGGTGTATGAGATAATAAGCCCCTCCGCCCACAGGGCCTCTTCCCATAAGTAGCCTACTCGTGTTATATTCCAGGATGCCTCAGAGACAATAATTTTCTACATGTGCCATGATGTGAAAGATTTGGAAGCATTGTGGTTTAGATCAAAATCAATGGTTCCCAAATATGTGCGAGGATGGTTGTACACGAATAATCTGGGGAGTGTTAAAAATATAGATTCCTGGGTTCTACTTGCACAGATTCCAATTTAGAAGTTCTGGGAGAAGCCTAGGAATCTGTATTTCAACAACTGCATGGACAATTTCAATAAGCAATCAAGTTTGGAAAACACAGATCTAAACTATCCACACAAAAGTTAAAATACCATTACTCAATTCAAGGGAAATATTAAAAACAGTTAACAGAACTGGCTAACTGACCCAGGCTTGCAAATTAGCTCATTTGGTTAGAGCATGGTACTGATAACACCAAGGTCTAGGGTTTGATCCCTGTACTGCCAGCTGCAAAACAAACAAACAAAAATAACCAAAACAAAACAAAACTGGCTAACTTAGCAACACAATTATAAAATAAAAGTAATCATAAGTGGGTTAGCTCATCAGCACAGAAACAAGATTTGGCTTGGAGAGCCACAGATACAGACACTCATACTAAAAGGAGAAAAAGAATGAATGCAAGCAAGCACATGGCTTACTGAATGGATGAACAAAAAGAAGGCTAGCCAAAAACTGAGCAGAATGCAGGAAATGCGAATAACAAAGCTAAAGAAAAAGAGTGGTCAACAAAGTAACAGGAGGTTAACCAAATTCTTAAAAGCGTAGGTTTACCATATTCTGTGTTGAGGCCCCATAATTTCACTTTATTAGCTTCATACTGGGCTTTTTTCTTTAACCGACAAGCTCTGTGAAAGGAAAGAGCAATTAGTTCACTTTTTTAAAAGTGAATATTCAGAATACTCTCCTTTTGCTGCTGTTAGACATTTTCTAATATCAACCCAAAATTAATGCCTACTGATATTTATCAAATAATTGAGTTACCAAAAAATACAACACAATTTTTAAGAATTTAGCATACGCCCGTACCGGACCGGGACCGGCCACGGGATCGCAACCCTTGGTGTTGCTCCCGCCCCTCGCTCAGCCAGTGAGCGGCCGGTCTGTATGTGGGATCCGAACCCTCAGCGGGAGCGCCACCGCACTTCCCAAGCAGCGCACTATAGCAGTGCGCCACCGGGCCAGCCCACTCCCCTCCTTTTCTTTTAGAAAGTCTTGGCAAGTTTCACAAGTCTCAACATGTTTAAAACCTCTTCTCCTTCCCAACTTGTGGCTACAAGAAATGGGGCAGAAAAGAGTTTGGAGATTTTACTCAGAGCAAGATGTTTTGCTGCTAGACTGAAAATTTGTCAGACATATACATTTTTATGTTGGACTCAAAAATCCAACAAGTAATATGACAGCTTTTTGATTGATCTGACATTACAGGAGACTCAAGGGGTCTTCCCCTATCACTCCAGGCAAAGGATATGGATGGCTCTTGTCCTCTGAACTTCTACAGTTTACTGAACAACTTTCCTAGTACTAATCACACGCTACTTGGAATTATTTATTGGACTTATATTTTCACATCTGGTAGAAAAATCAATCTGAAGGTAAAAACTTGGTTAATTACTCACTGAGAGACAATCGAGTACAGATCTGGGTGCTAGTGGAAAGGGAAAAGGTGGCACAAATATACTTCAGATACAATTCCTGTCCTCAGAAATGCTTATCAACTTATATCTGTAGCATGAGTGAAGACTAAGCTGTTTACTGAGCACCAAGCTTACCTGTACTTCCTCTCCCCACCTTTTTCAGTAGACTTCGGATTAATGTAAAATAACATTTGTGCAGAAGAAATTCTACTTAATCACAGCTTCCTGAGTTCACAGTCCAAAATTTGACCTACCTAAGATTAAAAGCTTCTCCCGATTCCTACTACTCAACTCTCCTCTCCCCATTCATTTTCTTCACAACTATTCCTCCTTTCTTTTCTTTCCCTCATTCTTTCTCCCACCACAATTTTGAATCCAGTCTCCCCATTTACATTTAGGCCTGGGAATTAGACAAGAATGGAAGAAAGGGAGGCTAGAGCTCATTTGCTTTCTCCTCAACCCTTCTGGTATGGCTACTGTTACAGTTTAGGACAGCAGCCTGCTGATCATTTCCTGGATGGTGTTAAGTAGAATAAGAAGGCACTAAAAATGAAACTGTTTACACAGTCCCTCCTCCCTACTTAGGTGATGGCTCTCAACACTGGTAAAAGCTATTGTGAATGAAGAGCAGTCATGGCAAATACTGTTCCCCTCTCCAGTTTGCTAGGTAGGGTTGAATACCTAGGTACACTGAGTAATCATTATGGTTTAGTATCTCTATTTCAAGTGACATTAAATATTTGACTGCAATACCCTCTTACCGTGATGTAAGCCATTTTTCTGATACATATTACTTGGCAAGGTATCTCGGTTCCATTCAGATGGCCTCAGCATCCTCTCTTGCTGTGATGGTGTAAGTTGTTCACTATATTCCCAGAAGTACCTTCTTTTACCTCTCTTCCGAGAAGATATTGAAGTCATCTCCTTCAAGTCTTCTACAGAATCATTTTCATAGCCTTAAAAAAGAAAGCCTCCAGTTTTTTAACCTCCATAAATTTCAATAAACCAATCTGGACAAACAAAAAAATCTATTCTATTTGTATATATTTCCTATCATCTGAAAACATTGGCATGTCAAGTATAATAAACCAGATCTATAAAACAACTTTTAATATGTAAATCTGTAACTCATAATATATTCAGAGATTAATAAACATAGACAACTACACAACAGTACAGTTTATCTTCCTCAGATTTCTCTTTGGTTTTTCTAAGTTACCATATGATACTTTTTATGGTATCTTCACATAGGATTGAGAGAACAATTAAATATAGTTACAGGAATGTCAATAGTACCATTAGATAATAGTATCTGGACACTATACTGTGATTTTTAAGTCTCTTCCTTCTAATATTTATATATCCAAAACATCCCAGACAGAAAGCTGTGTGCATTTCTATGATGTTATCCTACTAGGCAGAGTTTTGTTAGGCAGCCATGATTTTCTTCCTACCTCCCACCATACTCCTTGTGGAAAAGTACAATAGATGACAGTTCTCACACAGGCCATCAGATAAAAACTTATATGCCAATTCTAGCTAAATACTTTACTGGAAGCAATTTGCATTTACTTCACTTTTTAAGAGGGGGTATTTTTTCCTTACTAATAGGAAGTTTCAGAAAATACTTAATTCTGAGCTGCTAGAACTGTTGGGCAGACCCAACACAGGATGATCTATAAATCTAAAATACCCTCAGAGAATGGCCATTTAAGATGTACTTCACATCATTAATGTTAGATACATGGGGGAGTGGAGATGGGCTGTACACAGAATGTACACAATCTCAGACACAAGGTGGCCCAGAAAAATTGGATGGTACTGGTCAAGCAAAATGACTATTTTCCCTCCTAAAAACATGACTCTTCTGTAACTGTCACTAAGAAAGTAATGATAACTGTTCTTTAGTGGGGGGGGGGGGAGTTCAAATTTTAGAATTTTATCAAGTTTTCTTCAGAGTAAGAATCAACCAGGAGTATGATCTCATTTATATGACATCCTGGAAAATCTAAAACTATACGAATATAGTG